ATAGAATTTTACCCCCTGTTTCCTGCTTAAGATTGGGTTTCCGGTTTCTTCTAAAGTCTACTTTAACTTTATACTCCTAATGTCTCCAGCTGAATTCTGAAATTTTATTTGCTAATTAAATCTTGATGTCTTTAAGTCTGGAATTAGCTGTCATCTTACCTGCTTAGCCCCAAGAACTTCACTTCTTGCCCTTTCTTACGTTAATACAATTTTCACAGAGCAACCCTCTACCTTGAGCGGCTCTTGGGGCTTGTATTGGGTGAATATTAGTAAGAACAATTTCGTCTTGATACAAAGCCTCGTATGGGACACTGACTCAGGGTTGAATTCACTACCATTGGTTAACAAGACTTGGTTGCTAACTAACTAGAAATTAATTGAATTTCTGGTAAAATTAGCGTTTTTTGTTTGTTTGTTTGTTTGGTTGGTTGTTTGTTTGTTTGTTTGGGTTTTTTTTTCGTTTTTTTTTTTATTTTTGAATGAGATGTTCTCTTCAGGAGGTAGAGTCGATCATGACTCTTTTTTCTGTCTTTATTATCTGTGATTCTTGGAACAAATGGGGGAATGATATTTTTTTGCCTTTTACGCGGTTTGGAGATCAGTTCTTTCTTTCTGTCTTTCTTCTACCTAGTGCTAGAGAGCCCAGTCTAACATGCTATTTAATCCATAGCCTGGGGAAAGACGGATTCATAACTTTCCTCAGAGAATTTGTGCGAAAGTGAACGCAACAGGTTAGACTGGGTTTTTTTTTTAACATGGCTCCTCGATTCTACATTACACCGCAATAATAATTGTAATAGAAAAGGAAACTGAGCATAGAATAAGAGGTAGTTTCGCCCAATACCACAAATTGCTGCAAAACCAAAACATTAACCTAAAATCTCGAGTCATATTCTTAAATAACCTCGTCAGATCGAGGTTTTCAAATGGATGACATTCATGGCGTCAAACACGTTCAGAATTATCTAAAGTGTCTGCTGTATACGACTGTTTTCTCAGATCAATGGTTAAAAAGGGCGCTGAGTGAATGAAAGGATTACCCTTTTTGGACTTTGTGGACTGACGCTACAGAATCATAAACAAAGAACAGTCCCTTATAAACTCCCATCAAACAGTAAAAAGAAAGATCGAGAACAGCTAGTCGACTTGAGAAACCTATCCCCCTAAAAAATTGTTTGAAGTGAAAGATTTTATAAATTTCAAACGTCAGTGGTACTGGCTGTTCGGTCCCTGAATACCGAATGTTTCCTTTTAAGGAAACGGCTAATATTACCATTACTATTACACGTACATAATTTCAGTGCTTCTGGCAAAAATAAGGTCATTAGATGTATCATTAATTGATTCAAAAGAAAAGCAATATCAGTGGCTCGGAAGGTAAGGATTAATGACTGAATGAGGCTATTAATACGATATAAATTAAATGTAAATTATTTTACGGTCGAAATGCACCGAAAATCAGATAAACTTACACATCCAGTGATACTGGCAAAATAAGATTCTTATTTTCGACACAAAGCCACAAGTATAGGACACTCGATCAGGATCGAACCCACTAGTGATAATTAACCAAACTAGAACGCTAACCATTCTTCTTCTATGTGCCGCGTTGTGTACTTCGACCTGTCGTATTGGTTAGAAAGCTTGTCTCACCATATCAATTACGACTGAGTAGTGAGTTCGATCTTCACAGGGTGCTCTATACGTTCGGCCTTGTGCCGCATCTAAGTTAGGCTTAGTAAATTACATTCGATGTGCCGCGTCCCCTCAGGATATAGATCATGGCTCTACGGTTTCCTATCTCGTGTGTCTCTTAGCAGTGTTTTTTCCCTTTGCTAAGACTTTCACCCCCGTTCCGCATTCCATTCACACAAGCTCGTTACCATCCCCTATCTCTCTTGCCCTCAATAGGCCTCGTGAGGGTTACGATTTCCAAACCCTCCTTCCTCATTATACGTCCAAGAAAATTCAACTCTCTTTTACTGATTCTGATTGGTTTTGTTTGGTTTGTTTTACGGCATATCAACCTCAATGGGTTATTTAATGCCGACATTTTTTTCAAAAATCTATTTCTGGTAATATTTTTTCTTCAAAAATCTATTTCTGGTAATAATTTTCCTTCAAATATATATAGCTGGCAATATTTTTTTTCAAAAGATGTATAGCTGGTAACATTCTTTTTCGAAAATGTATAACTGGTAATAATTTTTTTACAAAAATGTTTTACTGGTATTAAAACGTATTTTTACACGTTTTGACCCCAGTTTTTTTTAAGTATTTCCCCATAGATGGGACCCTAACAGATGCTACCACCCCCGGTCAGGATGGATCTGAGAACACCAGCAATTAAGAAGTGGTTCCATGCTCCTCAAAACCTCCTGATCTGAGGCCTTGCTGTTGGACGTAGTTTATCGTCTTACCCAGGATGCAGATGTAGTTTATCGTCTTACCCGGGATGCGGATGTAGTTTATCGTCTTACCCAGGATGCGGATGTAGTTTATCGTCTTACCCAGGACGCGGATGTAGTTTATCGTCTTACCCAGGATGCGGATGTAGTTTATCGTCTTACCCAGGATGCGGATGTAGTTTATCGTCATACCCAGGACGGACTGATTCTGAGTAGAGGTTTTCTTTCCGTTGCTTTTTTCTTTAAGACTTACTTGTTGCTTACTCGTTCCGTCCAGGGAATTCTCAGCATCCTTCTGCAGAACTGCATTTCTGCTGCCTCCAGTGTTTTCCTCATCCGCGAGGAGATTGTCCAACATTCACAGCCATATAACAGGATGGATATCACATAGCAATCTAGAACTCTTTTCTTTGTTTCTAACGATGTTTTTCATTTTCCCAGTACCATGCTTAGCCTTTGGAATGCTTCTTTCGCTCGTCGAATGCGTACTTCGGATTTCGGTGTCATATTATCCGTGCTCTGTTAAAAACGCTTCTCAGATATTTAAATTTTCCCCAGCTGCTTGAAGTTGACATCTCGAATTTGTAACTCGCATCTTGGGCTTTTGTTTTACTGATGCCTATATTTTCTGTCTTCTTGCAGTTGACGGTTAGTCCTTTTTTCGCCCTTTCTTCTACCCTCATGTCTAGGGGGTCCTGTAATTTTCTTTCCGAGTCGGTCATCAACACGGTGTCATCTGCCTATATAATATTGTTAAGATTACGCCCACTGACAATAAATTCTCCTAGGATCTCCCCTCCCACCCGTGTGGCTGTACCTCACTAGACATGAATCGAATTCCATTGACTAATAATGACAGATAAAGAAACATTCGACATTCATCCAGTGGTAATGTCGGTTGAAATTTATAAAATATTTCTCTTGAAGATGTTAAGATTGTAGTGATCAGACAAGTGTTCTGGAGAAGAAGCTTCCTCCTTACAAATGGAATATGAAATTTATAAAATCTTTCTCTTAAAACAATCTTTCGGAAAAATTGTTTTCTCAGATATAATATATAATTTTTTAATTATTATTCACACAATAAAACTGCTACTCAAGATAGGGGGTTACAAAATGTGGATGCTGTATGGGTGCATACAGAGGGGGTAAGGATAAGGATATGTAGGATAAAGTTTGAGCCTCGACTTGAAGTAGTGATTAGAGAAGCATCCTTTCCACATTGCAAGTGTCCTAGGGAAGAAGCTTCCTGAGTGAAACTTCCTCCTTACCAATGGAATATAAAGGAAACGGGAACTAGTCGACTCAGTGGCATAGTGGGTCCTAGCTGTGAAGGGCTGAAATGGTGGAACCAAAATGTGTAGTTCGTCCGGACATCTGTCAGTGAAACTGCGGTAGAGCTGTGAGAGGCTAACAACGTCCCGTCTGTGGGCAAAGGAATGAATATTTTTAATTAATAAAATTCACTGCACGAAATTCATTAATATTATGAGGATATGTAGGATCAATAACGGTTGACCCTTGACTAGAAATTTGTTAATTATCCAGTGATCAGGGAAGCATCCTCTGGAGAGTCTGTTCTACATTGCAACAGTTTTTGCGAAGAAGCAGTCTGAGTGCAACTTACTCCTTACTAATAGAATATAGGAGATAGGCCGACTCTACAACGTTTGGCCTCTGCAGAAAGGGTTGAAAGATTCACTCTTAATTACCAAACAACAAACTTAAAGCACATTTTTTTAAATACTGATCCACTTTATATATTCCAGTTTCTAAGATAAATCAAAGTGTTCTCAAAAATATAATTAAAAAATATATATCAATAAATAAGAGCAGTCTTATTATTTTTTTTAAAAAATTGACTGTTTAAATACAAATCTTTATTTCGGAAAAAAACATTAAATGAACCAATATGGGTTTTGATATGTCGTAAAGCAAACAAACACTCTTAATTATTTTACTTTAGAAATACAGCGAAACTCAGGTAAAAAGAATAGATTGCCAATGGTCAGTAATTAATGCAGGTGTTGTTGACGTTGACGTAATTAGGTTATAAGAGAAACAATTAAATTCACATAAAATGACGAAGTGTTATTGGCAAAATTAAGGTTACTATGTGTATCATTGCATAAAATAAACAAACGCTTGCATAATTTGTGCTAATAATAGTTTAACGAGGGAGAAAATACTACTCTATCAAGTAGCCATCTGCATGAGAAGCTGGTTAGTCAGAATTATAGCAGCAGTAAGTAAGATAGAGCAACTGCTAGTGTTTGTAAATAGAACATCACATTACCGCCCATGTACTCAATTCAGCCTACGACTGACTTGCTGTTCAGCCAATCGTATTAAGAACAGCTATACATTTTTACAGTCAAGCATGACAACACTACTATATATAATGGGAGGCCGATTTTATTTTTTACTATCGTTAACTTGATCAAAATGCATCTTGTATCAAAGTTGGCGTTTTCACTGTTTTTATCGGCTCTGTTTATTGCGCTTGTCGCAGGCGAAAATGCATCTTACATTAAAATCGGTGCTTTTAACATTCAAGTATTTGGAGTCAAAAAAGCCGCCAATCCGGACATCATGCGGTATATTATTAAG